AGAGGCCTGGAGCAGTGGCTCATGACTTAATCCCAGGACTATGGGAGGCTGAAGCAGGCAGATTACCTGAGGTCAGGAGTTTGAGACCAGCCTGGCCAACAGGGTGAAACCCCATCTCTACTAAAAATACAACATTAGCCAGGTTTGGTGGTACACGCCTGTAATCCCAGCTACTTGGGAGGATGAAGCAGGAGAATTGCTTGACCCAGGAGGCAGAGGTTGCAGTGAGCCAAGATCGTGCCATCATACTCCAATCTGGACAACAAGAGGGAAACTCCAGCTCAAAAAAAAAAAAAAAAAAAAAAAAAAAAAAAAAAAAAAAAAAAAAAAAAAAAAAAAAGAAAAGTAAAAAGAACAAGCAGTATATATAAAATCACACTGCAATTAAGTTAGAAATCAATGACAAAAGAGAAACATATTCTGTAGCCTCTAAAACACTGTTATATATATCAATATATCATCATAAGGTATTAAAATGTGTGTGTGGTGAAGAGAAAGGTTTATCTTCCCCCTCAATTAAATATAGTTATTACCTCAATATGGAGATTTAAAAAATACATTTCTAAATAATTCCTGAGTCAAAGATGAAATCATAATAGATATTTTAAAATACTTAGAAGGAAATCTAAAACTTATATACCATGAAAGCCGAGGAAAATTTATAGCTTCAGATATCTGTAACTGAAAAGGCTGCACGTTCATGAGCTAGGTATCTGCCAGTTTTTTCTAACAATAAATAAAAGAATAAAGTAGAAGGGATTAAAGAATATTCCTCTGAAGAAGGTAAGAAATTGCTGCTTGTTTTGTTCTTATGCTTCATGACCTATACATGCCAATGGCTTCCAGACCTTCACCAGGCAGCAGAATCACTCATTGAACTTTGAAAACTACGACTCCCAGACTTCACTTCAAACTTACTGAGCCACAATTAGTGTGAGGCCTGTGAATATACATTATTAACAAACTCCCAGTGATTCCAATAAACCCAGGGTCGGATAGATTAGGAACTCCTGCCCCAGGAGACTAATTCAACACCTTGTTACACAAAGCAACATTAAATGATGTTGTTTCAACACCCAAAAGGGGTTATATGCAGGTCACCAAATAAACGACCACAGAGCCTTTCCTAAAGGTGATCTAAGAACTAAGGGAGACAGTTACAACACCCATTCTGCGACCACCAAGAGCAGTCTCAGGGAATAACAAACTGATCACCAGGAGAGCCCTCCCTAGGCATATTCCAGTAAAACTGACCCAGGTCCAAGTTCTGAGAGTCCCTGGCCTTGCAAGAAAGCTTATGTGAGAACTTGAAAGGAATTATGATTCATGGTTTGGGTAACAAGCCCGTCTCAGGATAACTCCTCCCCTCTGCTGCTATACCAGGATGACATTTTTACATGTAGGCAGTGTTCCTAAGAACATCTGCAGCAGATGGGTGGAGTGCCAAACCACAAGACTGCATCAATACACTCCCTTCAAAAACATATGGCTGGTTGCCAATACACCATATTGATTTTCCTAACAGACTGCACTTAAACTTATCATTTCACCCATGGTCTGTTGGGTCAAATCAAAATGACCAGATTCAATCACTCTGATGCCATTTCAGGATTTGGAAAGGGAGGAGCAAACATAGCAAAGAACTTATCACAGCCTCAAGATAGTGCAGTCACTTCCACATCCATGAAACCTAGCCACAGCCAGGTCTGTAACCCTGTCAGGGCTGCCATGTTTTTTCAGGACATGATGCTTTCGCTGAAGCTGTTCCCTCTGCCTAGACTGTTCTCTCCCTTGTTGCTTGTCAAAGCCCTAGTCATCCTACCTAATCAGCATCTTTCCAACGTTTTCCCCAACCTCCCCAAGATGAAGACGCACACACTCTCTAAGCAGCATGTATGCTCCTCCTCCTTGCTCTCAGTACACCCTACACAGATCCTTTCACAAGTATCGTTACCTCATTTGTCTAGACAGAAGCCCAAATATTGAACTCCAGCTCTCTATTTCTGTATGATCTTGCACAAAGAAGGTTCTCAACCTCTCAAACTCTTGGTCTTCTCATCTACAAAACAGGGACTATAATTGTACTTCATAGGATTGTTGAAGAATAAATAAGATTATGCACAGGAAGCACTTGACACAATCCCTGGCATGGCAGACGCCCACTGAAATGCAGCTATTATTTATATTTGTTGAATGAATGATCAGAGAGATGAGAGTCAAAGCCTATAGAAGACACCAAATCTAGAAGGGGAGAGAGAGGTCAGCACACCAAGGGAACTTCACCAGGACTCATGTGAGGTAAGCGTTGGCTCTGGCTACCATTAAAAGTGGTGTTTCAGAGTACATGGTCAGAGTGAAATCTAAGTTGTGTGAATGCTGACTGACCTCTTATGCTTCACAGCTCCTGCCAACAGCTTCGCCTGGGAGAACTTGTTCTTGGTTTCCATGGGCTTTACAGTCAGTTTCTTCTCCACTTCCTTCTTGTTCTCTTGAGAAATTCCAACCTTCTTGAGATTATTGTGAGTTACCGGTTAAGGGTCAAACCAAGCAAAAGGAAGGACAACAAATATAACCCACTAGCTCTTTGGCTGCGCTATGTGAAGTTTGGCCTACTTATTTTCAAAATGCCCCACCCTTCTTTCGCCAGTCAAATCCAGCTGATTCAACGATAAATGAAAGAGACCATGGAGGAAGACAGCATATAAAGCCCAAAATAATACAGAGAAGCAACCTCTTTCTCTGATTCTCAATGAAAATCTGAGCATAGCCACAAAACCCGCTATTACCAAGGATATGGCCAGTATAATGGTTGATGGAAAAAACAAAGCTCTTAAGGAAAATACAGGAAACAGAAAAAAAAATTGTGGCTTCCCTGAAAACATGCTTCCCCTTCAAGGGTAAAATCAAATTTTGCAGAATGTTGTTATGACTATCAGCGGCATTTAATCTTAGACATCATGAAGAGTAACTCCTGCTCCACTGGTGGAAGGAAACATCAGAATCACCCCAAGGCTCATTAAACATGTCAAGGCTCTCCCTGTCCCAAACCTATTGAACGAGGACCTCTAGAGGCCCTGGAGTTTGTTTTAAACACTCTCCAAAGGTGATTTTACACTTGATCTTAGCCAAAAGGTCGAGAAGTGATCAAAAGTGATTTTAATGAGAAATCCTGTGCATATATACAAGAACTAAAAAGCCATTTTTAAAAGCATAACCAGTTCGCATGTAACATCAGTTTTTCATCAGTTGATGCCAATCTCTGGCTCTCAACTTTTTACTCTTTTCAAGTGAAGAAAGGCCCATAACTTTTGTTAGGAGGTCACTTTCACTTGTTCCCTCCACGAGCCCTCCCTTCTTTCCATCCATCTCTCCCTCTGTTTTATCTTTCTCACAACTTCTTAGACAACAGATAAGTATTCTGACATGGTGCAAGTCCTTATTTAAGATGCAGTAGTGCCTGGTACAATAGTGACATCTAGTGCCCAAGAAATCTAAGAAGCATGAATTATCGGCCCAAAGAGGTGGGTGGAAGTAGAGGATGTATGGTTAAGGCTATTTGTCTATGTGTCTGAAAAATGGAGAAAACTGAGTTCCAGAAATCACAAAATTCTAATTCTAATCACTCTCTGGCATCTAACTCTGTTCTTATGGACACAAGTTACCTTAAATATTTGCAGTATGCAATGGAAATTAGGTATAATGCTCAGTACTATTATGAGTTTCATGAATTTAATGTTTTTAGGGTCATCACGGAAACAGATAATGCTAATACTCATTTTTCTTTAATAAAAAGTGATTGGCTGGGTGCAGTGGCTCACGTCTATAATCCCAGCACTTTGGGAGACCGAAGTGAGCGGACCACCTGAGGTCAGGAGTTCGAGACCAGTCTGAGCAATATAATGAAACCCCATCTCTATTAAAAATACAAAAATTAGCTGGGCATGGTGGCATGTGCCTATCATCCCAGCTACTCAGGAAGCTAAGACAGGAGAATTGCCTGAACCCGGGAGGTGGTGGTTGCGGTGAGCCAAGATCGTGCCATTGCACTCCAGCCTGGGAAACAAGAGTGAAACTCTGTCTCAAAAAAACAAACAAAAAAAAAATGTATTGCCAACAGTAATTTCAGCTGGAGTGCTTAGGAAAGGTCTCTAAAAGGGAGAACTGAGTGTTAGGGAAGGTCTCTAAAAGCGAGAGCTGAGCAGAGGGCTGAGCTGTGAAATGCGTCTTGCAAAATCGGAGGGCAGAACATTTCAGGCTGAGGAAACAGCAAGTCTGAGGCCTTGAGATGGACTCACAAAGCATGGTGAGAGAGAACATGAAGAAGTCCAGCAGGCTGGAGTACAGTCAACATGAGGAAGAGTGGCTTCAAGATGCAACAGGGAGGTGGGTTGGCCTAAATAATGCAGAGCCTTGTAGGGCCTGACACAGAGTAAGACTTTAGTCTAATTGTAAGGGGAAGCCACTACAGTGTTTCAAATAGAAAAGTGACATGATGCCATGTATGGTTTTTAAAGTTCCCTTTCCTGTCTAACGAATAGATTATTGAGGATGAGAGCAGAAACGGAAACAAATTAGATGGTCACAGCAGTCCAGAAGAAAGTCTACAACTACTACAGTAGCAGTAGATGCCAAGAATTGAAGAGATTTGGAGTACATTTTGGAAGCAGTTCTTGGCCCAGGAACCTAGAGGCATAGGACCACCAGTTACTAGGACTGGAAGGACCAGAAAAAGAAGAGCCTGTGGGGAAGGGCAGTGTGATGAGAGTGGGAGTGATGTGGTACAGAACTGAGAATTCCGATTCAGCAAAGTTACATTTGGGATATCTATTAAGACATTCAAGAGGATGACCAAAAGGCAATATTGAGTCAGAGCAAAGTCATCTTTGCTACTTTCTCAGCCCTTCTATGGGGACACAGCATGCTATACCAGTAAAGAACATCTACTAAGAATACAGGAAAGTTGCTAACATGTTCTTTATAACTCAGAAGCCAATTTCTCCCCTGGAAGAGGCTGACTGCACTGCCCACCTGTCTCAGAGTCTAATCCCACAAGGCAAGAATACCCAGTACTGACAGTTAGGATTGATGCCTTGAGTTAACCCTAAAGGATGTAGACTTTTGACTACAACACTCTTGCACACAATACAAACTCCACAAACTACTGCCCACTTTTCAGAATTACAGGAATATCAGTGTTGAAAGAGACTTGAGAGATCACCAGGTAGAAAACCCTCTTTCTGTTGATGAGGAGACAACATCCATAGATGCTGATGAGAAAATACACACCTTACAGGTTTTCCTCCAAGTACAAAGGATATTCTGTATTCCTTCAGTTCTTTCAGTTCTTCTTCTCTTCGTTGCTTTTCTATTAGTTCCTGCTGTCGAGAAACCTCATCAAGGAAGTTGGTCTCATCTTCATCTAAGCCTCTTACCATGTTTTCTGAGGAAATAATTAAACAAGGAACACTTAGCAGGCTAAAGGGAAAAATAAGATTTTTCCTTTCCCCTTTTTTAATAAACAGCAGATTCTTCAGGGGATTAAGAAAAAAAACTGGTAAATACCATGGCGTTTGAATAGATAACAGGGCATAACAAACAAGGCATTTTTCCCATTACTAAATATTACCATAGAATTAAAATGGGTGTTTTGAGCTCTAAACAAAAATATTCAATGTGGTCTAGAAGGCTGAAGGCTGTCTCTTTTCCACCACATGAGCATCAGGAGATTTGAAAATCAAGACAATTCCATGGCTAGTTAGGAAAAGTGCTGCATGAGGCAAAAGTACGTCAAAAATATCCCGCAGAGCCCCCTGAACTCTGTTTTCTGAAGCTTACTGAATTTGAACTGTTCCTCATACTCCTGCTGCTTCCTGTCCTTCTGTTCCTGTAGCCTCTCATATAGAGATCGGGGGTCATAAACCTCCTCTGGACATTCTGAAAGGAAAAGAAGGGGGGAGAGCGGCGGAGGGGAAGGAGATATATACTTTAGTTTGTTTTCATATTATTTTGGAATCACAAAAGGTTTTAAAGACAAAGTCAGGTCTCTGCATGATCTGAGGATGAGGATAACACAAAAATAGTACAAAGTCCAGTTTCCCTTTGGACCTAAGAGAGGGCCAACAGTTCTCAAAGCCAACTCTCAATGTCAATAGCACCCATGGCCTGAGGCAGTTAACTGACTGAAGGGCCAGCCCAAACCCTCCACAGCAGCAGTGTTCTCAGTTGTTCAGATCATGGATCCACATGTATAGATGGAGGTGAGGAGCAGAACCTTTTGGAAGGCAGTGTGGTAGGCAGAAAAAGGACACGATGTGAGTACCTGGCTCTCTCCCAGCTGTGCAGGACCTTAAATAGGTGACTTCACCCCTCCCGGTCTCAGTTCCTCAACTCTAAAGTGAGGACAATTGGCTAGGCATGGTGGCTCATGCCTGTAATCCCAGCACTTTGCGAGGCTGAGGCGGGAGGATGGTTTGAGCTCAGGAGTTCAAGACCAGCCTGGCCAACAAGATGAAACTCTGTCTCTACTAAAAATACAAAAATTAGCCAGGCGTGGTAGCAGGCGCCTGTAATCCCAACTACTCGGAAGGCTGAGGCAGGAGAATCTCTTGAGCCTGGGAGGCGTTAAGTTGCAGTGGGCCAAGATCGTACCACTGCACTCCAGCCTGGACAACAGAGGGAGACTCCGTCTCAAAAAAATAAATAAAATACAGTGAGGACAATTAATACCTACTCTACAGGGCTGCTGTGTGGGTTAAAGACCATTATACGAATGTCACAGTATACCTTTTGGATCCTCAGGTTTTCGAACTTTCTCCCATTCTTCTTGCCTCCTTTTACGCCGTTCATCTAGTTCTGCCTCAGACACAAACCTCTTTTTGATAACAAGGTTACCATCATCCCCTCCATCCATAATGGAACAACCAACCTATAAAACAGAAACAACAACAAAAAATTCATTTCAAGTGAGAACTGCAATTAAATTTCTAAAGAGAAACAAGGAGATTTAGCTCTGTCTCACCCAGCAGCAAACTAAAAATTATCTTCCCACTTTGAATCGAAAAAAATTCTCAAATAGTAATTTATAGGCCATTGAAGAAAGCAAGTGAATACATTTTTCCTAACACATGAGGGACTTTTTATTAACATCAATGTTATCTACACAGCAAGAGGACCTGGAATAATTCTTATTACCTGGTGTTCCATAGTAACTCTTACATTGCAGATATTTCTCTGTCCCTCTAATCTAGGCAAATTGGTCTCTTGGGCATCCTATCCTTTTCCCAGCTCTCATCCTCCTTTATTTCTGTAACATCTGACATTGTTTCTTCTTGAAATTCCTGTTTTGGGGACATTACACTATCTTGATTCACCTGCTCTTGCCTCCAAGTAGATTAAGATGGAGAATCTCAGCTATTGAAGACTTAGTGATCAACTCCAGTCCGCATAGCAGGGAAGGTGCAAAACCATGAACGGAGAAAGTGCAACTGGAAGAACCAATATCCCAACTTCAGTTCCATGTACTTTCCTGAATATTAAGCTGACTCTTCATTTATATCTCTTGGGACCTTCCTCCCCGTAAACCCTTGTCTGTGGCATTTAAGATTCTAACCAATCCTTCTCTTTTCTCACTCCCACAATCACCTAAACCACTTTAAGCATATTTTGACACAGAAGACTCTCAAATCTGTTATTTCTACCTGAGTTTTTCTTCAAAAAGGAAAGAAGGAAATAAAGATAGAAGACTGTGTATTATTCCTTTTTTTTTTTTTTTTTTGAGATTAAGTCTGGCTCTGTCGCCCAAGCTGGAATGCAGTGGCAAGATATCAGCTCACTGCAACCTCCACCTCGTGTGTTCAAGTGATTCTCCTGCCTCAGCCTCCTGAGTAGCTGAGACTACAGGTGTGTGCCACCATGCCTGGCTAATTTTTGTATTTTTAGTAGAGACAAGATTTCACTATGTTGGCCAGGCTGCTCTTGAACCTCTGACCTCAAGATCCGCCTGCCTCAGCCTCCCAAAGTGCTGGGATTACAAGTGTGAGCCACTGTATCCTTTTCTTTATTGGTTTATTTCCTTTTGAGTAACTGTAGAATTAACCCACTAGGCAGGCATGTTATGTGTTATTCACAGCACTATGTGCTAACAAGGAGACACATATTCAATACAATGACCATTCCTAAATGACTACTGACAACAAAAACAGTAAATTTCCACGCTACCACAAAAATAAAGCAGCTAACCGTTAATGAGCTCTTACCATGCACTATATACTTTTTATGGATTTTATCTCGTTTACATGCTCAGTGACCCTATGAGAAAAATTATCTGTTTACAGGTGAAATTGAGATCCAGAGAAGTTCGATTATTTGTCTAAGGTGATACAGGTGGTGAATGGTAGGGCCAAGAACCAAATCCAGGCCTGACATCAAGAATTCATACTCCTACCAACTTCACCATACTCCTCCCCAGAAACCACTAAATCTTGGTTGAAAACAAAGACATGTCAATTTCAGCTTTCTTCCTACTTCAAATTCCAGTGCTGAGAATATTCATGCAACATTTTTATTTAGTAAAGCTAGAAATGGAAGCTGAAAGAACAAACCGAAACCTTCTAGAATAAGAGTATAGTCTTAGCCTGAATACTACTGAGGTTTAATGTAACAATAAGACAGAATTGTGAGGTTTAATGTAACTTGCTGAGGTTTAATGTAACAATAATAAGACAGAATTGTGAAAATTACTAGAAAGAAATGAAATCAACTGACAGACGCTGTTGCTCCCACCTAAAGCCCACAACATGGACACTTCTGATTTAGCAGCACTTGATGACTCCAGCCAGAGGCTCATTACTGAAGCAGAACTGTTCAGTTTCTGTGAAAATGCCAAAAATTCCTCAAGTTCTGCAGAACAACCTCTTATGAAACCAGAGCCAACAATTTCTTCAATGTCTCTGGCAGAGAAAACGTGAACTTTCTAGGGCTCTAATGGTTGGGAGAGACATTCTGAACCCTCAATTTCCCCCTTGCTTATCCCCTATTAACTGTTCAGTCTCCTTTCTTACCCTGTATTAATCATCTGGTTTCTTTCCGTCACCCATTTTTCCTAGCAAATAATTCAGAGTGGGATAGGTCCTTATAGCCCACCTAATATGATAATCCACCCGACATCTGAATTTACCATACACACCCAGGTCATCCAACTCATATATTAAAACTTCAGGAGGGGCCACTGCACTCCCTTCCTAGGCAGTCAATTCCCTCTAAGCAGATTTGACCGTTAGGATAGTTCTTCCTTAAACTGAACTAAAATTTGTTTTACTATAAATTCAACACATAGGTTCAATACACTGGGACTATTCAAAAAGAATCAAATCTTTTCCAACATGACCATACTTCAGTTGTTTGAAGACAATTCCCATGTTCCTCCTAATTTGTTGCTTTTCTGAGCCAAATATTCCTAGTTAATCTTACAAGACAGATAAAAATAATTGTGTCTCAAAGAAATGAACTTATCAGATTAGGTATGATTTAAACCTGGGAAATCAATACTAGGATACGGCAATGCCACTGGTGTCCCAGTAAATGTATCTCTTCATTCTTGTTTTTTATATATATATACACACACACACACACACACACACACACACACACACACACTTTTTTCTTTTTTTTTTAAAGACAGAGTCTCACTCTGCTACCCAGGATGGAGTGCAATGGCATGATCTCGGCTCACTGCAACCTCTATCTTCTAGGTTCAAGAGATTCTCTTGCTTCGGCCTCCTGAGTAGCCAGGATTACAGGTGTGTGCCACCATGCCCAGCTAATTTTTGTAGTTTTAGTAGAGTTGGGGTTTCATCACATTGGCCAGGCTGGTCTCAAACTCCTGACCTCAGGTGATCTACTGACCTTGGCCTCCCAAAGTGTTGGGATTACAGGCTTGAGCCACTGCACCCAGCCTATGTTTTTAAAAGGGAAAATTTAAAAATCTTCCAATATGCCAAAAAAAAAAAAAAAAAAAAACCTAGAATTTTACATTTCCATCTAAATAAGAATCCAGAGACCAGGTGTAGTGGCTTACACCTGTAATCCCAGCACCTTAGGAGGCCCAGGCACACGAATCACTTGAGCCCAGGAGTTCAAGACCAGCCTGGGTAACATGCTAAAATGCCGTCTCTATTTATTTGTTTATTTTCTGAGAATTTTTTGAGATAAGGTCTCGCTCTGTCACCCAGGCTGGAGTGCAATGGCATGATCTTGGCTCACTGCAGGCTCCGCCTCCCAGGTTCAAGTGATTCTCCTGCCTCAAGCTCCCAAGTAGCTGGGACCACAGGCATGCACTGCCACACCCGGCTAATTTTTGTATTTTTAGTAGAGATGAGGTTTCACCATGTTGGCCAGGATGGTTTTGATCTCCTTGACCTTGTGATTCACTCGCCTTGGCCTTCCAAAGTGCTGGAATTACAGGTGAGCCACCTCGCCCGGCCGGCCTGCCAGGTTTTTTCAAAAAAAGAACCTACCTTCATTTCACTTTAACAAAAATCCCTTAGATTCAAAGCACTTCCTTTCACAGACTTTCTAGAACACATGTAAATAAGAATTTGAATTTGAAACAGAAACTCCAGATAAAGAATCTTTCTGTCATTTATGAATCGCTTTTGGGAAAAGACAATTTATTGCTTTTCCAAGAAATTGCTTTTCATCAATCTTTTCTATTAAGTGTTAGAATTCAACTTCTACACAAGTGAGTTTAGTCTGTGCTGTTATTTTATATTTTGAGATGGTCTTGTACTGTCGCCCATCTCAGCTCACTGCAGCCTCTGCCCCCTGGGCTCAGGCAGCTCTCATGCCTCAGCCTCCCACGTAGCTGGGACAACAGGCATGCGCCGCCAGACCTGGCTAATATTTTTATGTATTTTTTTTTCACCTGGTCTCAAACTCCTGGACTCAAGCAACATAATCCGTCCACCTCAGCCTGCCAAAGTGCTGGGGTTATAGGCGTGAGCCACTGCGCCCAGACTATCATCTTTTATACACAGGGACAAAGCCAGAAATCAGTTGGTTAATGAAATTAAGAAATAAAGCAAAAGCATATATTTTTTTAAAAAAATTTAAAGACAAGCATTGCAGGGGCAAGAAGAGGACAAGAAATGTATTTCTTATCAGCTCTCAGTGGGCGGGTCTTCTGAAAACATAGTCACACCATCAAAACTAATACGCACTTATAAAAGTCTGCTCTTTAAAACTATTATCTTAATTCAGGCTGGGCATGGTGGCTCATCCTATAATCCCAAAACTTTGGGAGGCTAAGGCAGGACTAGCTTGGGCAACAAAGCAAGATCACCATCTCTACAAAAAAATTTTAAAAACTAGCCAGGCATGGTGGTCTGTGCCTATAGTCCGAGCTGCTCAGAGCGTGAGGTGGGAGGATAATTTAGAGCCCAGGAGGTTGAGGCTGCAGTGAACAATGATCGCACCACTGTGTTCCGGCCTGGGCAACAGAGTGAGATCCTGTCTCAATAAATTAATAATAAAACTAATATAATTCTGGCATTCCCTTGATTCCCCCCAAAAAGAAAATAAGCCAAGTTAGATGGCCACACATAGTAATAAATTTCTGTAAAAGGACTAGACTAAAACATAAGACTGCTTTATGCATCTTTTTTCAAATTAGCATTTTTTTTTCTGTAGGTCCTCGTTGTCTGGCACTTTCTCATTCTCTGGCTTTGTTCAGGCTGTTCCCTCTGCCAGGAATGCCCTTGCTTTCTTTTCACCCCATGCAAACTGCTGCTGCACCTGCCAGAATCAGACTGAAGACCACCTCCTTTATGGGGCTTTCCAAGACCTCCTGGAGTAGTTAATATGTATTTCCTTCCTTTGTATTCTTGCTACGATCATTCATAACTCTACTACAGCCCTTATTCATTGTGTTTTATCATCTATGACTGTTCCAACAGCTCTTTGTCTCTACAGTACTTATTACTATTAACACAGTGTCTGGCATATATTAGGTATAGACAAAATACTTACTGAATAAACCAACCATGAGGAGCTAAAGAATCTGAGCAGGGAGGAATGAATTGACACAGATATTCCTAGGTACTGTCCAACATAAGTTATAGAGATTGGTAGCCATTAAGCAAATATTTGCTGAAGTGACAGTATCATGCGAATTCTATTCAAACACCATACAATTTGTGCAATAAGAAACAAAGGACCAAAAATTAAATCACTTTACTGTATAATTGATATCACCTTTCAAAAATAACTGTGACTTTCCTGATTAAAAATGGTCATTTAACCTGAGAAATCAGGATTTGATTTCTCAGCGCTTTTCTTTGAAAAGTCCAATGGCTGTTTATTCCACAATAAAGAAGTGATAAGTACCTGTAATTTACTGACCTGCTGGAAATAGACAGAGAAGCTAGAAAATTAGATTGTATTGAATTCTAATTCCTACTGTCTAGGTAAATTTTCACAAGTCTCGTTTTTTTCTCTTTTGTTTGCTAGAGTAATTAAAAACAAAACAAAGGACAAACAGTCCAGGGATATGGGGGATATGGGCTCTCACTGTGATCCCTGCAGGAATGCAGAGGACTTACATTAGGAATGCTTATTTTGCCGTAACCGTGTTCCATTTTTGAAAGAGTAAACAAATGCTGTCAGCTTTCTTTTCAAGGTGACTCAAGTTTAATTATGAAACTAAACATTACATTATTTTTTAAAGGATTTATTTAAGTTATTCAAATAGGGAATTCATGGAAAACTCAAAACCATTTCAAAATTCACTTTGTCCACCAAAATTTAGAGTTCAAATTGGCACAAATAAAGAACACGGTAGTCAGGAAAACAAAGTTCTTATATTTCAAGCCAAAGTAACTGTTAAACACTGAACTACTGGGTTTATACTGGAGACTGTAGTATTTAATTCCCAGGGTCGGGGACAAAATGGGCTGTGTCTCAAATAGCACACTACACACGTTTTATAATACAAAACTTACATTGCTGTTCCCCAAATAATTGCTATTCCTTACTTGAAAAACGACTCCATTTAGCTAGTGCCATGACACAAGTTAATGAGTTCTGGTTTCCTATGGAATTGAATTCTGTGATGGCAAACTACTTAAATGTTTACTTCTTAAGTGTTACATTCTGGCCACCTGACTTCTAATTCTAAAATTACATAGATTGTACATATAAAAACACACCAGAATCAGATTCCTGTGTTAAGGCTTCACTTTGAGTAGCAAAAGCAATAGGTCAATCCATTTACTTTTATCAATAAATATAGATTATTGCTTTCCAAAGTTTTTTACTCTGATGTTCAAGTCACATTATACTTCAAAATGCAGGACAGCAACTAAGAGGAATTTGGTTAACTCAACTACATTCCAAATAAAGACTCCTTTCTGGCCAGAAGGCACTTCTACCAAGATACAGTAATTTAGATTTTTAAAAATTTAGCTGACTTTTCCTATATCATAAATTTTCTTTAGAGAATGACAACTACTAACAGAGAGCCCGCTGTTAGGATTTATTACTAGGCAAAGTAAAGTCAATATTCTAACACTGAAGTTTACTTAACATACTCCAGTAGCAAAGGAGACTAAAAGAATCTAAAAACTAGACCACAGAAAAAGCAATTTAATCCATATTTTAAATGTTTATCATAAGGAGCAAGAGCAATTTGTAATAACCTTTCAGGTATCTATGAAACACACACAATAAGAAATTCGGCCAGGCGCGGTGGCTCACACCTATAATCTTAGCACTTTGGGAGGCCAAGGCGGGTGGATCACTTGAGGTCAGGAGTTCGAGACAAGCCTGGCCAAGATGGTGAAACCCCATCTCTACTAAAAATACAAAAATTAGCTGGGTGTGGTGACAAGCGCCTATAATCCCAGCTACTTGGCGGGGGGGGGGCAGAGGCAGGAGAATCGCTTGAACCCAGGAGGCAGAGGTTGCAGTGAGCTGAGATTTTGCGTCATTCACTCCAGCCTGGGCAATAGAGCGAGGCTCTGTCTCAAACTAAAAAAAGAAAGAAAGAAATTAAGGTCTAGTGCAGCAGCTCACACCTGCAATCTGCGCATTTTGGGCTGCTGAGGCAGAACTGCTTAAGCCTAGGAGTTCAAGATCTGCCTGGGCAACATGGCGAGACCTCATCTCTATTAAAAACAGACAAACAGGCTGGGCACAGTGGCTCATGCCTGCAGTCCCAAAGCTGTAGGAGGCCAAGGTGGGAGCATCACTTGAAGCCAAGAGTTTAAGATCAGCCCAGACAACACAATGAGACTCTGTATCTAAAATTAAAAATTAGCCAGGTGTGATGGTGCACTACTCAGGAGGCTGAAGTGGGAGGATGGCTTGAGCTGAGGAGTTCCAGGCTATGAGGGCCACTGGACTCCAGCCTGGGTGACAGCACAAGACCCTGTCTTGGAGGGGAAAAAAAAAAGAAGTTTAAAACAATACATTGATTTATTTATCTTTCCACAGCACAAGAGCAGAGTCTCATATGTGCGTTGATCTTGAATTCATCTACACTCACTAGAAGAAAGATAACTAATTTAAATATCGGTTCCCTTAGCTGATCCTCATTCACATGCACCTCTCCAAATATAAATATCCCTTACTACGTATGATTGTATTCACTGTATTTTTTACATATTGTGACTCCCAAATATAAACTGACAACTTCATCTGGGGCTCACAGGAAGAAAAACAGCCATTTTTTCCAAAGCTGAAAGAAAACCTGCCTGAGGACAGAGAAAAAAACCCCAAACCAAAGTATTTTTCCTATTCACTCACTGAACAATCAATGCAGTATAATTCTGTGAGGGATATGTCCCCACATACCAAGCAATCAACCAATTCTGCAGTGGACACCAACCAGCTGGGTGTCCTAATTCACTTCAACTGACACTACCTACCTGGATGGAGACTGCGTCAGATCCCACGAGTTGAGGGCTGAGCCCCACAGGACTGGCCTCCATTTTAGATGCCAATCACAAGACTCAGGTTGTTTTACCTGTGGTTCTGACCAACTGGCTATTAATCGGGGTTTCCATAACCCCCTTCTTAGGTTTTATTAATTTGCTAGACCAGTTCACAAAACTTAGAGGAATACTTTACTTACACATACTGGTTTATTATCAAAGGATATTACAAAGGATACAAATGAAGGGATGCATAGGGTGAGGCATGTGGGAAGGGCAGAGCTTCCATGCACTCTCTGGTGCACCATCATCCAGGAACCTCCCATGTCCACCTATCCTAAAGCTCCCCAAACCCAGTCTTATCGGTTTTTATGGAAACTTCATTACTTAGACATGATAAATTAAACCAGTGACCACTAGTGGTCAACATAATCATAAGCTCCTCTGCCCTCTCCTTTCCCCAGGGGCTGGACGTCAGGGAGGGGCTGAAAATCCCAACCCTCTAATCCTGCCTGGGTCTTTCAAGTGACCAGCCCCCATCCTAAAGCTACCCAGGGCAGCCAGCCACCAGTCAGCTAATTAGCATATAAAATGACACCAATCATTTTGGAGAGTCCAAGAATTATAGGAGTTGTATGCCACAGGAGACGGAGACCAAGACCAAATACGTATTTTACAGTATCACACTGGCCGTGTCAGAATTCTGCAACACTGGTATTCCTACAATCAACATGCTGCCTCCCTGAGATTTCAAGGGTAGCTTTGCTTGTACGCTATTTTGTCATCTAGGCTGGCTTCAGAACCTAACCCACATCTCAAGTCATACTCCGTCCTCCCTCCCCCCACCCTATGTAACACCACTCCAAGACCAAATTAAAAACAAAATAAAACACCAACAACAAAAAACACAGTCCCAGCTACTCAGAAGGCTGAGACTAGAGAATTGCTGGAGCCTAGGAATTCAAGGCCAGCCTGGGCAACATAACGAGACACCTGTTTCCTTTAAAAAAAAAAAAAAAAAAAGGTTTTGAATAAAAAAAACCAAAAAAGGCCAACTAATTTTTTTTTTTTTTTTGGCCAGGCAAGGTGGCTCACCCTGTCATCCTAGCACTTTGGGAGGCCAAAGTGGGTGGATCACCTGAGATCAGGAGTTCGAGACCAGCCTGGCCAACATGGCAAAACCCCATTTCTACTCAAAATACAAAAATTAGCTAGGCATGGTGGTGCATGACTGTAATCCCAGCTACTTGGGAGGGAGAGGGAGAATCGCTTGAACCCAGTAGGTGGAGGTTGCAATGGGCCCAGATCGTACCACTGCACTCCAGCCTGCGCAATGGGAGTGAGACTCCATCTCAAAAAAAACAAAAAAAAGTTTCTTTAAGCAAATATTTACAGAGAACCTATTACATGCAAGATACAATGCTATGTACTAAACAGGCAACTGAGGAACTTACACTCATTCAGTAAAAGAAGTAAGGTCGGCACACAGCAATTTAAGGAAAAGTAGAACTAGGTTACAGGCCATAAGAGGAGTAGATGCTAAGCACTAAGGAGTTGGGAAAGGAAGACTAGAATAAGCATTGGGAAGCTTAACTTTCATAGTGGCTGTGACGACGCACAGTGAAAAGTGGTGGAAATTTTAGGTATATGAAGAATAACCGTCCTTAACTTAAGGGTGCTGGAAATCACACAAATTTCAAATTCTAAAAATCAGAATACCGGGAGATTTTCATTTCCTGAAACAGTGGGCTAGGTAATTGAGACCAATTAACCATCTCTGTACTAAATACACTAAATATGCTGGAAATTTGTCAAAAATAATAACCCCCTTTTTTTATTTGAGACAGGGTCTCGCTTTGTCACACAGGCTGGAGTGCAGTGGCATGATCTTGGCTCACTGCAACCTTTACATCCTAAGTTCAAGTGATTTTCCTGCATCAGTCTCTTAAGTAGCTGGTATTACAGGCACCTGCCACCATGCCTGGCTGATTTTTGTATTTTTAGTAGAGACAGGGTTCCGCCATATTGGCCAGGCTGGTCTCAAACTCCTGACCTCAAGTGATCTGCCCACCTTAGCCTCCCAACATGCTGGGATTACAGGCATGAGCCAGTGAGCCACCACACCTGGCCAAAAACAATAATTCTTTAAAAAGCTAGTAAGATGGTAAAGAACTTGGACATAATCTAGAAAGTGAAAACCTGAAATTAACTTCTATATTCAAAATGAATTTCATCCTAAGGATTTCTCTGACCTAAAAGCTAAAGTTGTAGTGCCTTTATGAGATAATAGAAACAAGTTCAAGCCAGGGAGTGGAGTCTGACAACGGCCTCTCTTTCCATCTTAATTTGGTACCCGAAAAAACTACAGCTTCAAGGTAAAAGTGAAGTAGGAAGTAAAACAGCAGCAATAATGGGTAACAGAAACAGACCCCCAAAGGCAATTCAGACAGTGGAATTAAACACAGAGATTATAAAAACAACTATGCTTTCCACGTTTAAATAAATAAAATTAAGCCTCAAAATTAATAGCAAAAAATAGGAAACTATAAAACAGTGTCACAAGCCAAACAGAACTTTAGAAACTAAAAAATGCAATATATGAATTTAAGACTTCAGTGGCCAAGTTTAATAACAATGGAAATAACTTGAGAATAAGGAAATTATCCAGAATGTAGTACGGAAGAACACAGTAAGAAATATAGAGAAAAGAGTGAAAAGGTTTAGTTAAATCAATAAAGAATAAAGAGAGACAACGGGAGGAAGCAATATAGGCATATAAAATGGCTGAGAATTTTACAGAATGAAAGACACTAATGCACAGATTCAAGAAGTCTAATACCAAACAAATCGAATAAAAACAAACCCATAGTTCCATACAGAATAGTAGAAACGCAGAAAACTAAAGACAATCTTTTTAAAAACTTGTCCACGCTTGATTTTAGACAAAACAATCTTAATACATTCTATAGTGGAGGGAAACAATATTTATGAAGGAAGACAAAGTATGTTCAAAAGGTGATTAATAGTGAACATGTTGAAAATGTTTAATTAAGCTGCCATAAAGGTATAATTACACTATGACTCTGTAGTTATATTGCACTTAAGTTACTTGATTTACCACATACGTGGTTTTCAATCTAAAGCAGCTTTAACCAAGCATCACGATTCTTGGAAGATGAAAGTGAAGACTGAGAATCAACTAAATGGTTTTGACACAGTTTTTCCTTTCTTATACCATGAAGCACTTCCCCACAGGGTAAGAGCATGAAGACTTCAGTTGAGAAAGATAATTGGGCAGCCTCTACTTTCAGACTCTTAGAAATTGTTCGCAACTCATCTAACTAAAAGACTGTAAAACCTGCTGTCGGCTCAATACTTTGTATCAAAAAAGAGTCTACACACTGATTCCCTTGAAAGATTTCAGAAGAATGCCTTCCATTTTATGATGTCCCTGTGGACACATGAATAAACCAAAGAACTGAAGAATCGACAAATCTTATCTCACAAGTGGTACCCAAGAGGTCATCGGGAATTCTGACCACCAGGCTCGCATTTGGCTTCTTGGGTCCCACTCCCGAACTACCCAGTCGCACTACCTGGGGAGCGGGGGTCCGAGAATCTGCATTTTAAAAAGGGCCTCAGGAGTTCTTGTTTTCCACTAACGTTTAAGAACCACTACTTCGAACAAACAGGTCTCCCCTTTTCTCTGTGTGGACTGACAGTCACAAGAACTACCAACTCTCAAGCATGATGCTTCAACTCTCCGTCTTTGTTCCTTAAGTTTTCTGCAAAACGGGCCAGCTGGCTTGTTTTCCGCAGAAGAAAATGCGTTTGGCACAGCAACTGGTACATGGCACACAGTAAATGAGCTTCCCATCCTGCACTTCCATTCTGGGATTCAACCATTTCCAACCAAGCGCCGCACATCGGAGTAACCTGGACCTGTTCCAAGACCTCTGGAACAGAGCCTGCTACTCACTCGAAGCCTGGGTGGCCCTACCTGGCAGGAAAGTGGAGAAAACCCACAAAATGCCAGGCAGTGCTGGGCCCGCCTGAAAGGGTCCTCCCGCGACCCAGGGGCCTTCCCGCCGTCACCCTCGTCTCCCCTTAGGTTGGGCCCGCAAGCCCCTGGTTCCGGCGACTCCGGACACTGGGCGGGTGTGCGGACTGAAAGCAGGCCTGGCCCTAACCCTAACAACAGCCGCAGCTCCCCATCTCTTCAGCGAAGAAGCTGGAACCCAGGTGTCGCCGCCAGGCCAGGACCGAGGCCGCACTCACCTACCAGCGCGCGGGAGGCGAGACGCCCTCACCTCGGCGGCGCCCACCCCAAACCGCCACCGCAGAGCTGCTCGCTCTTAAAAAAGAAAAAAAAATGAAAGGAAGAAAGAAAGAAACAGAGGAAGGCAGAAATGAAAGAAGGAAAAAAAAAAAGAAAATAGCCTTTGCTTTTGTATTGCTTTTGACCCTTCAGGGCTTCCTGTTCCTCACCGCCACAATAAAGCCCCGCCCCACTTCCGGTGACGTAACCCAATCCGAGGAGCCCTTCCTCCCCTGGAGTCCGATGGAAATCCGGTACCCCGAAAGCAAGTCGGAGAGACTTGATTGGGCCATTCACGCCTCAGGATGAGGATTGGCCAGTTTACGCCTGGGGGGCGGGCCGGTCCGCCTGATCACGTGACACGAATTTTGAAAGGTGACTGGCTGTGAAGGAGAGGGATTGCCACCGAGGAAGGGGCGTTTCCTAGGGGACTGAGGGAGGGCCAGGGCGGTACGAAGCGGGGGTGGGCCCTGCGCGTAATGGCAGCGCCGTGGCCTCGCGTCCATCTTTACCGTTCTCTCGGACCTGTCACAAAGGAGTCGCGCCGCCGCCGCCGCCGCCCTTCCCTCCGGTGGACCCAGGAGCTAGAGAAAGTCAGTGCCGCAGCCCGACCGCGCCGCTCTGAAAAGCCCCCTGGGCACGCGGAGCGGGAGGGAGTCTGAGGGTTGGGGATGTCTGTGAGGGAGGGGAACCGTCGCTCGAGCCTGGGGCCGGCGGACCGGACTGGGGCCGGGGCAAGCTCTGGGAAAGGGCCCGGGAGAGGGGTGGCGTTGGTCAGAACCCGAGAAACAGCCGAGAGGCTTTCCACAGAGGCCCGCGCTTGAGGGATCTGAAGAGGTTCCTCCAAGAGGGTGTTCCCTCTTTCGGGGGTCCTCACCAGAAGAGGTTCTTGGGGGTCGCCCTTCTCAGGAGGCTGCAGCTAACGGGGCCCAGGTGAGAGGCAGGTATCTAGCTCCTGCGGTGGCTCCTGATGTTGAGGGGGTCCTGACCTACCCAGGGGTGCCCGGGACAGAAAGGGTAGACGAGGGGACGCTTTGGGGAGGGTTCCTTTTGTGGAGTTTGCGGTCTAGGTGGCACGGGTGGGAGGCAGACCTCCCGGGGGAGATTTAGAAACGCCTTGGGGTCGAGAGACAGAGAATGGGGCTAGGAGGTAGGAGCCAGAACTAGCAGAATTCTCCTACTACAGAGGCCGGAGCTGAAAATTTGGTAAGGACCTTGGGGAGAGGGGGTTTCTGGGCGGTGATGGGAAGAAGACACCTCCATCCATAAGAAAGCCCGAGTGGGGAATAGTGAGAGGGAAACGGGTATTTTTCCCTTTCTCTGGAGATCGACCAGGTGTCTCAGACACAGGATCCAGCTGCTTCCGGGCTTAGAGCCCGAGTGGGGTGGGGGGAGTCCATCCCACCAACACCCCCTGCGTGACTCCAAATTAGGCATTTGTCTCTGCCTGCTGCCTCACTTTCCCCGTCTTTGGGAAGGGAAACCGACCAAGACAGAGACGGTTGGCTGAGACTCTGAGGTCCTGTCTTGTATAGTTCTCTGAGTGAGTTTGCTCCCCCTGGAGTGTTGTACTTTGAACTTTTAAGGGTTGGAAGTGTCTATTATTGACTGAGTGGAATCCCGCAGTTTTCTAGGCTCCTCACCTACCATCTGTTCGTGCTTAGTGGAGTGACTTAACCTCCT